AGCTGGGGGCCACGCAGGGCCGGGACGGGCAGCCAGAGCGGCAGCTGAGGTTGGGCAGGCAGCAGCTGTAGGGCATGGTGCCGGGAGGGAGCGAGGCGCCGGCCGAAGACGGAGTCCCAGTTCTCCAAGGAGCGTGTGGCTCTCCCACTTCTGGGAGCATTTATACCCTCTCCACAGAGGGTGTGGACATCGTGTGTAAAGTCTTTTTTCTTTTTACATCTTCACTACTTTTCAAATGCCCTTCCCTTCAGTCTGTTATTTGCCTTTCTCATAAGAGTCCTTTGTCCCATAAAAGTCTTTACTCGGGCTTCTTGCTAAGTCAGGACTCCTCCCCGGGCAGCACACCCATGAAATCTGCGCTCTGTGGCGGATCTTCAAAGAGGCCACACCGTCTAGCCGAGTAACTGCCCTTGTTAAGTGGGAGTCAGTCCACCCAACGATGTTGTGTTGTGTCCTGTGATCCTGTAAACCCATAATCAGACCCATCTCATGGCCCGCCTGGCATCTGTCAGGGGAACGGGCCTGAGTCAAGGGCACCTTTCCATCTGCTTTAAGAGAAGAAGCCTTCGGCGCTGTAGCACCCAAGCTTTGGGAGCCTTGAGGTGGATGTGAACCAGTGGAGGAGGTGGACAGCTGTCTGAGTATCACCACCTGTCTACCACTTAAAAGGATTGTAGAGGAATTTTAAAGGTAGAGGCTTTGATAGTTAGAGATCAGGGAGGCTCCTGGAGGAAAAGATCATTTTGAAACAGGATTTGAAAAAAATGCAAGCTGAGAGCGCCACACAAATGCATTTCAATCTCCGAGGAAGCACGTCTGAAGGCAGGTGGGGCCGGAAGCAGGACGGTCCCACGAAGGCATCCAGAGCCCAGGAACCGACTTTCCCGTCGGGAGACAGCCCCAAGCGGCCTCCACAGCATGAAAACCTTTGAAGTCGATCTTAAAGCGTCATGTGAATTGACTTTATATTCCATCATATACCCATGTTGACTTTAACATAAAAAACCCGTTCCAAAATTTCCATCTTAACTGCCTAACATTTTGCCCGATTAGCTAAGTGAAACCGATACACCAGAGGGATGTACTGATCCTGTCCTGGGCTCTTCCCATCCCCAGCCTCACTGGCTTACACATAACCTGGTTAAGGAGCTGCAGGTTGAAAAGTACCAAGGATGGTCGTATAACTGAGCCCAAGGACCTGGTCACTGGGAGAGAAAAGGCTGAGACACGGCATAAGCAGGGGACGTAGCAAAGCAAGACTGGAGGGTTTGGGGTTGACGTGAGGGCTGAAGGACGGCATCAGAAGGTCTGAGGAAGAGGTGGCCCAAGTTCTGAATATATATATGTCAGCTGCATAATTACAGGCATCACCGGGTACCACTTGCGTCTTAGGTAGCAGCACCCCAACGTCCGCTGTGGCTTTGGCAGCCAGCCAGGGTGGCAGTTTTATTGACAAATGGTCGGAGTCCTTCTCCCCACCGAGCTTTCATGCTACTGTTCTTGCGGCTGTCCGCTTGAGTCGCAGACACAGGTCCTTCATCTACCTTCTCCGGGGCCATTATCACCACTTATTATAATGCCATTAAGATGTCCCACCACACCAGAGAAGCCCTGGGCTTATAATAAAATCAGAATGTCTTTGTTTTCCTCCAAGGCAATTAAAGGGAGGGAAATAGATGGGTCCCGGGGCAGGCATCCCCGAGACTCTCCAGAGGGAAGACGCAAGGCCCAACGGCGCAGCCCGGGAAGCTCCTGTCTCACTTCATCGGGGCTTGGGACAAGCAGAAAGGCCTTTGAATCGTCCTGAGGAGCATCTGCTCCTAGAGACCAGCCCGGGCCCCCTGCTCCCCGACGCTCGTCAGCCTGCCCCACAGCACTGGCTTCCCCCGAGGAGCTGCTTCCCCAGCCGTGCCATCCTCGCCCCCAGGGAGGTCTCCCTGAGCACAGGCTCGGTGCCTGCAGCATCCTCCGTGCTCCAGCCTCAGCCCTGTGGAGGCGTTAGTCAGAGGAGACTGTGCAGGTTCTACGTACAAGAAGATCCGAGGATTGGTTTGACAAGCAAGCCAAAACAGAATTTGTGTAGAGTGCAGAGAGACCAGAGAAATGGAGAGAGAAGGAAACGGGGAGAGGTGAGAATGTAAAGAAGAGGAAGGAGGAAACCTAGAAGAACCCACAGAACCACACGGGTAGCCGACAGAGCCACCCCATCTTCACAAGAGGGAACCTGGAGGAGGCATCCCTGAGGACGAACCAGGGCGACCTGAGCTGGGGGACGGACGAGTGGCCCACCTGCTGAGTGCCCTGTGAGGTGTAAGGGGCGGTGACTCAGAAAACATCTGGAGCCAGGAGACCACAGCTTCTGGGGACTCTGAAAGAAGTGACATTGTTCCAAGGTGTCCGGACCAGAGCATCACCTCCCTGATCCAGTCTGAGATTTGTCTGCAGCTGAGAAAGACACTGTGGTCTACACGCAGACGGCGCGCGTCAAAGGGAGACAAAGCCCCTGCTCCTGAACGAACAAGGACTGTGGAGACGAGAAGGGAGCAGAGGGAGTCAGACCTGCCTGGGCGTCAGTTCACGCTAATCAACAGCCACACAGCAGATGCGGGAAGAACAGGTTACCCGTGGTACCTGGAGATCCCCCTTTTCCCTGCAGAAGGGGAAACGGCGCGAGAATTCAGGACGGAGACGCAGCTGGGCTGGCTGGTGAGTAGACTCGCTGCCATCCCTTGTAAATCGAGCCTCTTTCTTGCGGTGGTTTCAAAGTATCAACAGTGCTGAGTGAATGTGTTGCTTGGATTCGTAGGGGAAGTGGGGCGGGTGTTGTAAGTTCTCCACGACCTCCCATAGGTTAGGATCAGACTTCATGTACTGTCTTGATTTCCTAATTGAAATAGCTGCAAATTCTATTCATTCAGAGAGAAACTGAGCAGTCCAGGGACCATCAGACCCACTTTTTTTTTTTCATTTAGTTCAGTTTTATTCAAAATGCGTTTATCAAGCAGCTTCTCGGTGCTGCGCGTGGGACTGAAGCGAGGCAGAAGAATCGTAGTTCCGGTAGAGGATTCTCTTTGTATGAGCCATTCAGGCTAATGTGGGTCCCAGAAGTATTTGAGAAATTACAAAAATGTAAGGAGGTGAGATATTTAAAAGGCGAGAGCTGGACACTTGGGAATGGGTTGTGTTTAATGTCATTAGAAGACCTCATGTATGACGCTAAGGGAAACGTCCTCTGTTGAACATCCACCAAGCACCTGGCATAGTCCCAGAGCTGGGGACAGGAGGACAGGGGACAGTAAGGGGATGAATGCTCCTCTGTGAGCTGTCAGTCCTGCTGAGCAGACAGACCAGTCCACAACTAACTCTAGTATAAGGTAATATAATTGGGCCCTTTGCCCCCAAAAGTTTCTTCCTTCCCCCTTGCCACTTCTTCCCATACCTATTCCTGCCCCAAACCCCAGTTCACGGTTCCCAGCCATGGCTGAGGGCTGAGGCCGTCTCAGATGATTTACCTGTTTCCCAAAGGTGTATTGGTGACCCCACTCTTTAGGTGAGTCAGGTAGGGTTCAAACAACCGATCTCATTAGACTCCGAACCCTTTAAGAATCTTGGCTTCAGCCAGGCCTGGTAATGCATTATTTTGATATGTGGTTCTTGTTGTTTGGGAGACCACAGAGTGGTGACGTTTGCCCATCACTTCAGCCCTGCAGCCTCCCGTCGGTGCTGAGATGGGTTTCAAAGCAGGTGAAAGAGGCGGGTGCAGGAGTGAGGGAGCAGGAAGGGAGTGAGGTCAGCGGGGAGAAATGGAGGTGACACTTGCTGGTGAGCAGACACAGCTCTGCACCCTCGGACCCGAGCCCTCCAGCAGCGTGGAGGCAGGTGCTGGGGGTCCTTGGAGGCCAGTGTGAATGGCTGAGTCTCACGTTGAGGCTGTTGGACAACCAGGGAGGAAGAAGGGAGATGGGAGCCAGGGGCGATGTAAGTACGAGAACCAGCGTGAAGGGGGAGCCTCAGCGGAGGGGGGCCAGGAGACGGCCGAAGGCCAGAGCTCAGTCTGAATGGGTGAGGAGGACCTTGCAGCGTTGGAGAAAGAACCAGGAAGATTATCCTTGGGGAGAACCCCAGGCCTTGCAATACGTTTGTGATGTAAGTTTAGCTCAGCCGCCCTTCCCAGCACTGAGAGCAGGTCTGAGTATGAAGTGTTAGCCGTCCGGACCTCCCTGCAACAGAGCCCTCGGTGGTGCAGTGCAGGGACGGGCACTGCCTGGGGAAACCTGGGCTTGGGTGAGACCAGCCGTGAGAACGTAGGGGGCAGGGATCACTTCACCTCCCGGACCCTGCCCTTCTCCCACTGAAAAATGGGGGTGGTTATGCCTGTTCTGTCTCTCTTGGGGTTCGGCCGGAGGCTCACATTGAATAACACACATGAAAGTGCTTCGTCAATGGTGAAATGATGAATATATATATATATGGTGGTTTTTTTCTCCTCTTCCTCTTCCTCTTCCTCTTCCTCAATAGACAAGGTGGTTTTAGTAATGGCAGGGGGTGGGATGAGCTTCTTTGGCAAATCCTAGGCATTAAGAGGGCCGGGGTCCTCGAGCTATTTTGAGATGCTATAGGAATCTCACTCCTCGTGCCACCTTTTGTGACGTAAATCCTCAGGAATGGTTCCTCTAGCATGAACCCTCTCTCTTTTCCTGCAAGGAAAGACACTGGGGTGATTAAGGTGCTGCTGACACAGTCTGACACTTGGCCTCTGCAAAGCACAGGCCGAGAGCAGCAGCTGGAGGCAGGCTGCCTGGATCTGCATCCTGGCTTAGCTGTGTGATCTTGGGTGTGTTGCATAACCTCTCTGAGCTCGGTTCCTCGTCAGCAAAATGGGGATAGAAAAAGCATTGGCTCATAGAATTGCTCTAAGGATTAAACGAGTTTATGTGTGTCAACGTATCTGTAACTTAGTGCCTGGCTTATCGTGCGAGCTCAATGGATGTGAGCTTCAGTTACAGTGTGATGATGATGATGATGATGATGATGACGACGACGATGACGACAAGGACCATCGTGGTGGTGGTCATGTGATGATGTCCATGATGGGCTGTTTGGTTTCCAGGGAAGCTCTTTATACCTCCCCAAGCATAATGGACCTCTCAACCCAGCATTTCTTCCCAGGAACCCAAACCATTTCACATACTCACATACACACAATGTCTCATCACAGCTAATCTTATAATTACAAATGACAGGGCATTGGATGTGAACTCAAGACATACGGGTCAGTTGCCCTGGGGCCCCACTGACTCATTTCGTGTCACCAGAAGAATCCCTTAACCACTGAACGACTCACCTTCTCTCCCTCTCCTTCAATGGGAAGAACAATGCTTGCCTACTCTGTCATGTGCAGGAATAAGTAGGTTTATTTTGTTAGACAGCTTTGAACTTGTTGGATGCAACGAGCTATTTAAGTACAAAGGAGGAGGCGGAGGTGTTTGGGCCAGGTGCTAAACTAAGACTAATCAAAATTGCTCTTTCTTATTGAGACCCACTCTTGGGTGAGACCTCGGGGGTGTGTCACCTATGCCCCAACGCCTCCACCGCTTGGGGAAACGCTGAGGCACGGTGAAGGGGTGTGCGAGAACCTCTGACCCTTCCAAAGCTTCCTGTGCTGGGAGTTCTGATGCCGCCCAACAAATCAGTCCTGTCTACACAGACAGCAGCCAACAGGTGAGACTCTGGGCTGGAGAGCAGGTGCAGGCAGAGCAGCCAGGTCCTGGCTCAGCTCTCTCCACCCCTGGAGCTTGGGACGGTGGTCACTCCTGCACCAGAAGGGCTGGATTCCACAGCCATCAGCTGGACTTGGTAAATGTCTGAGCAAGCGACCTCATGGCAGAGTCACAGAGCAGCGAGGGGGTCGGTTCCTTGGCTCCACTTTATCACGTGGTTCACTGAGAAATGAGACCTCGAAAGCAGGGAGTCAAACAATTTGGGGGCTAGAGGACCCTTTCCAGTCATCTCATCCAGCCCCATCAGATACCCGAGTCCCTGCCTCAACATCCCCAACAGGTGGTTGCAAAGGCCCCGCTTGAATGTCTCCAGTGATGGGGAACTCACTGCTTCTGTCTTTGGCCAGTTGCAATGCTGCTTTCTAGAGACAAGCTGTTCTCGACCATGGAGCCTCTGGCCCGTGTGTCTACGGCCTACCCCTTTCAAGCCCAGCAGTTGCCACAAGGACTTGCCAGTGGAGCCTGTTGAGGAGCGTGGGTGGGTCAGTTTGACCCTCTCTAACCGCGAGTCTGACAGGCTCCGCAGTCGCCATCTTTCATCATGCCCAGGGTTCACAACGTGCAGGGGAAATGCACCATCTCAGCTGCCTGAGGGACTCCTCACCCATGGGACGTACCAGGAGAGCGAGGCCGACCTTGCCGCAGAATATCTGGCCAGACAGGGGCTCACTCCCCAAATAAAGCCCCTAACCCAGTGCTTCTCAAACATGAGAGAGCGTAGCATCATCTGGAAGTCTTGGTACGCCAGACCACTGATTCAGAAAGTCTGGGGTGCAGCTGAACAGTCTGAATTTTCAACAAGTTTCCAGGTAATGCTGGTGCTACTGTGGAGGACCACACTTGAAACACCACCACCCTAAACCTTCTCATGTTTCATCTGTTCCCTCTTCAAAGCTTCCAGAGTGGGTTCTGGATCTAGTTCAACGAGGCTGAGGTTCAAGTCTTAGCCACCAGCTGAGAGTAACAGCGCTCCCGGCTCGCAGGGTTTCTGTGGGACCCTGGTCGCGCGTCTGCCAAGCCCAGCACAGGGCCTTGCTCGTCATGAGCGTGAGGTCGCAAACGCTGGCGCTGTGCAGAGCCCGGGCAGAGCCACTGGATGGAGTTTTCCCTTTGCAAAGAGCCGTGCTGCTTCCTCCAGATAAAAGCGGTGGGATTTGTTCAGTGCATGGACTTCAAAAGCTCTGTGAATCTGGCTCCAACTAGGCTTGGTCAGGCCAAGAGCCAGGTGTCTCTCACCTGTGCCATTTTGCTGCAGTCCGTTTCACCCCGGCTGTCCCTGGCTTTGCCTTCTCCCAGAGTCACTCTGGTGAGCGAGCCACAAGCCCTGCTGTCGGGGAACAGCGGCTGGAGGACTCCCCACCGCGCTGTCAGCGTAGGACGGGGAAACTGAGCCTGGCGGGCACTGGGCTCCTTATGCTGCAGAAGTAAAGTTTATTAGTAAAATAAAAACAAGGTGACCCGCCCCATCTCAGAGAAACCGGGAGGCAGTGGAAGAGAGGAAACAGAGAGAGCAAAGGAAGCACAAACCCAGGGCCGGAGCTGAGCTGCTGGACTGGAAAACCCACCAACAGAGAAGCGCCTCCCGCCTGGCACCAGCCGCCCTGGGCTGGCTGAGGACATCAGGCTCGGAGGGCGGGCCCGGCAGAGCCTAAAGAACACTTGCCATTTTCTGGTACCTCCGGCGGAGGAACAGGTCAGCACCGGGGTGATGAGCAGGGCCCACGGGAGGCCTGAGGCGGCCTGGAAGGGCAGGGAGGGCAGGGGCACAGGCGGCAGGGCCTGCACAGCGGGGCCGGAGGCCGGGTGGTGCATGGCTTGCAGGGCAGCCTGCGGAGAGAAAAGGGCTGTTTGTAACGTTGGCATCAGGAGTTCGTGAAAGTAAACAGGCGCTTCAGGACCCCAGGAGCCAGCAGGATCTCAGACATTAGAGGTCCCTCTAGAGCAGAGGGCTGACTTGCCCAGAGTCCACCGCGGAGCTGCCGCCCGAGCTCAGAGCACCGTGTATAAGACGAGCGTTACCTGCCGTGGGGACAGGCAAGTGGCAGACAGAAGGGCAGAAAGGCTGATGACCAAGAGCAGGCCAGACGTCGGCCATGCTCGTACACAGCCCCTAATCTTGTTCCTTGTCGCTTGGAGGAGTGTGGTATCCACCTCGCTGGTTCCACAACCCTGCTGAGGAACTACATGAGAGAGGTGCTAATGCCCTGCGCGATATTTTTTAATGCTGAGTGTGGAGATCCCTGCAGTTGGAATAGTTCTTCCAGGGAGAATTTAGGAAAACCTACGTGCACTGAGTTCTCTGTATGTAGCCCCTGGGCAGTGACTGGCATCTTGGAGTAAAAACTCCTGCACACCCTCCTCTACATCCCGGCCGCTCACCAGGCTCACTGGGTAGCAAGTCTGTCTTCCAAGATTGCATGGGCAATGGCCCTCTTCCTCTTAGGTCACGGCCAATAAAAGGTTCTGCCCTTGCACGTGACATTGACCCAGACACAAGGACGTACTTGCAGTCCGTGCTCTCCAGGAGGTACCGGTACGTGGTGATCTCGCCCTCCAGCCGGGCCCGCACGTCCAGCAGCACCTGGTACTCCTGGTTCTGCCGCTCCAGGTCGGCCCGGATCTCGGCCAGCTGGGCCTCCACGGTGCCGATCAGGCACTGCGTCTGGGCCAGCTCGGTGCCGAAGCGAGCCTCGGACTCACACAGGGAGTTCTGCAGACAGTCCTTCTGTGATGCCAAAGAAAATGAGAAGCAGGTTAAAATCATGGATTCCTGCCCTCGGGCTCTGCCGTCAGACCATGACACCCCGGGTGTCGCCAGACCCAGAGAACCAACCAGCTGGATTATCGCAGACCTGCGGATGGGTGTGCAGAGCCTCCCTCATTCCCTCACCATTCACACCCAGGAGGACATTCAGTGCAAAGGAGATGCGGTCAAGGTTTAAGCTGCGCCCTGGTCTCGAAGGGAGGCGTGTACTGAACCGGGACCTGCTCGTGGGAGTGGGAGCCAAGCTGGGTCTTCTGTGCGCGCACAGGAGCTTACGAGGTGGTGCTGGGCTTGGCGCTCCACCTCCAGGGCGTTCACTGTGCACCTCAGCTCCAGGATCTCCGACTGGCAGCACTGCAGCTCCTCGCAGCAGGACGTGGCCTGCAGGCTGATGCCTTCCGACTGAAGCACACAGACGGGATGGCCTCCTGCCCAGGTGGCGGCCTGCTGCCCTGCCCCCGCCCTGCAGCGCCGCCTCACCTGCGCTTGGAACCACTGCTCCACATCTCGGCGGTTGGTCTCCACCATGGCCTCGTACTGGCACCGCATGTTGTCCAGCACCCTGCTCAGGTCCACGGTGGGCTCCGTGTCCAGCTCAATCCGCAGCTTGTCCCCCAGCTGGCACTTCAGAGTACGGACTTCCTGTGGGCACAGGAGAAGAACATCCTGTATATGAGGCCCCCGCTGCCTTCCCCCCAAAGCCTTGGTCTCCCACTGGCCGTCACCCCCAGTGAGTTCCCTGCGCTCCTCTGTGGATGAGGAGCACCCTCCCGCTGAAAGCCAGGGCCCCTCTTCATAGCTGCTGAGGCTCACCCGCCAGGCAGGGCCGGCCCGCGTCCATCCTGAGCAGGAAGAGCCTCATATCTGCCCACATATGAGCCTGAATTCACCCCCTAGGGGTCCACACGTTCTCACAAAGGATACCCACCTGCTCGTGGTTCTTCTTGAGGCAGAGCAGCTCCTCTTCAGGGACTCCACCTGGGCCTCCAGGTCGGCCTTGGCGAGTGTGAGGTCATCCATGGCCCTGTGCAGGCCACACAGTCGGCCTCCACCAGCCGGAGGAGTGAGTGCTCCACCTGATGATACCTTTACCAGGCGGGTACAGGAGTCGGGTCCAAGAGCAGAAGTGCCCAGGGCCCAGCTAACAGCCAGCACCTCACTGGCTTCTGTCTGCAGTCTCACTGTGAGTTGGCGTTTCCTGCGTAGTGCGCTCACAGACAGAGAGCAACAGGGTGCTCCCCACTCACTCAACACGAAGCGCCTAAGATGAACCAGGCGGAGCGGCCAGTGCTGAGGATGGCTGGGTGCGCGGCTGCTGGCCAGAGGGGACACAGCAGTGTTCTCAGCAATCACAGTGCGGTGTGAGCATGGCAGACCCCCCTTCCTTTTCCCGCTGAGGTGGACCCTGGAATCTATCAGATTAAAAGCCTACTGCCAAAAAAAAAAAAGCCCTGGCCGGTTTGGCTCAGTCGGAGAGCATCGGCCTGCGGACCAGAGTCCCGGGTTCGATTCTGGTCAAGGGCACGGACCTCAGTTGTGGTTCTTCCCCTGCTCTGGTCGGGGTCGTGCAGGAGGCAGTCAGTCAATGTGTCCCTCCCACGTCGATGTTTCTCTCTCTCTCCCAGTCTCTCCCTATCTCTCTACCTGAAGATAAATAGAAAAATATCCTCAGGGGAGGATTTAAAAAAAAAAAAATCCTACCGCCAGCCCGGCTCAGTGGATTGAGCATCGTCCCAGTTCGATTCCTGGTCGGGGCACATGCCCCGGGTCGCGGGCCCGATCCCCAGTGGGAACAGCAGGAGGCAGCCGATGGATGTTTCCCTCTCACATCGATGTTGATGTTTCTATCTCTCTCTAAAAAAATAATCAATAAAAACCTATTTTTTAAATTTAAAAAGCCTACTGCCAGAAGGAGAGGAAGGAAATGGCTCTCTTTGGCTCTGGAGGGTGAGGCTCCCACAGTGCCCTGAAGAAGGACAACACAGCGTAATGCCCCTTCCTGCCCCCTCCCAGGCGGGACCTTCCAGGTGCTAGAGACCCTGTGGCCTCCCGTGCTCCCGTGGCATCGTGCACTGCCAGCGCTCACGGACCGGCCGAGCTGCCGTGTGCAGTCACAGCCTCGCCGAGGCAGCAGAGACTCACAGGAAAAGGCCTCCGGGTGGGAAAGTGGGGGCCACGTCCCAGTTCTACCTCCCAGGAACGCGGGACTTCTGGCAAGTCCCTTCGGCGCTCTGAGCCTCTGTGTCCTCGGGAAGGACAGGCCATCACCGCCCTGCCCACCCACAAGGCTCTTCTTACAACAGAGTCAAGTGGCCGATGACTCTCAATCATGTCGTAAACTATAAAAGCTAAACAATTATGACGCGGAGGGTGGGTTGTTCCTCCAAGACCTTGGGCTTAATGCCCTTTGTCTTCTCTTGCTGGAACTGTTGGTTTGGGCCCTGGCCAACTGCACCTCTGATGCCAACCGCATCACAAGAGGGAAGAAGCCAGGAGGGGCATCTGGCTCCTCCCCCTCCCCGTCCGACCCCAGCTCACTTGGTCCTGAAGTCGTCAGCAGCCAGCTGGGCATTGTCGATTTGTGAGACCCGCCTACTGTTCTCAGATTTGATGCACAGGGTCTGGGGAAAGAAAGTGGACTCAGTGAGCCCCTGTTCTCAGACCACCTCTGGCCTCAGGTCAGAGGAAGTCCCGTCGGCTGGGGCTCACACTGCAGCACCCCCTTGGACAACACCAACTCTCAAACATGTGAGAGATGCTCGTATGGGGTGGGGAGGGGAAGAGGGTGCACGAGGATGCTTGGCCGGGAACTGAGAGAGGGAAGGTAGTGGCAAACTGAACATATAATGAAGACAATTTTATTTCGCCAGATGTGATGCTTAGCCAAATGTAAACAAGAAGATCTGGAGTCTAGACTAGAGAACAATGGCTGGTTATGTGAGTTTTAGATAAGGTGGGATCCATTCCTAATAAGAAGTCCTTTAGCCCAGCTGGCGTGCCTTGGTGAACTGAGCGTCGCCCCATCGACTGAGAGGTCCCAGTTCGATTCCCGGTCAGAGCACGTGCCCGGGTTTGGGGCTCAATCCCCAATAGGGAATATGTAGGAGGTAGCTGATCAGTATTTCTCTCTCATCGATGTCTCTATCTCTCTCTCACTTCCTCTCTCTCTCTAAACAATCAGTAAACACATTTAAAAAAAAAAAAAAGAAGAAGTCCTTTGCACCGGTTGGTCAACCTCCCCTAAGGTCTCTGAATCGAGTCAGGTTTCTGTGGCCCCTATTCTGACATCTTTGTCTTCCTGTCCTCACAACTAAGACGTAGGCCCTTAAGCAGCGTTGACTTGATTATCAGACGGGACAGCAGACATGCATGAGAGGCTGGAGCTACTAAACAGGTCTACACGGGTTCACGCAGGACCTCAGAACAATCTCCTCTGACCCCTGCACTGCACAAGAGTTAGGTTGCACTGTTTTTGCAGCTGCATTTTAGGAATTGTAGGTACGGAACCTAAGTAAGCATGAACTCAGAATCCTGGAGAGTCGAATCCTACGTCTCATCCTTTGCACATCCCCATGGACCTCCACTCAAGAGAGTCTCTTCCCACAGTCTGAAAGATATCCCCGCTGCCGCTGCTGCCGCGGCCAGTCCAGGCCCCGGGCTCTGAGTGCGAGGATCAGTAATCTTCTCCCGCAAAGGGCCAGGTAGTAGACACTTTAGGCTTTGCAGACCATGCATCTCTGTCATAACTACTCAACTCTGCCATTGTAGCACAAAGGTAGCCAAAGGCCACACATCAATGAATGAGTACAGCTGCACCAACGAAACTTTATTTACCAAGTCAGGCAGCAGGCCGGATTGGCCGTCGTTTGCCAACCCGTGACCTGGAGCACCACCAGCCTCACCTTCTGCGGGAGCTCCTCAATGCTCCGGAAGTAGCCCTGGTAGTTGGGGCACACGGTGGTCTCGTGGCACTGGCTCCGCTCTCGGATCTTGGTCTCCAGCTCCGCGTTCTCCCGCTCCAGCTGCCGCACCTTCTCCAGGTAGTTGGCCAGGCGGTCGTTCAGGAACTGCATGGTCACCTTCTCGTGGCCGTTCAGGGTGCCCTCCCCGTAGGTCCCACAGCTTCCGACGTTGCCAGGAATGTCGGGGCAAGGGGCAGGCGGTGAGGCAACAGAGGGGCAGACAGAGGTTGGGTCGGCCCAGAGGGGTCGTCCCCACACGGACGCGGCTGGCATGTGCCAGGGTGGCCGAGAGGCCCAGGCAGGCAGCCTTTGCCTCGGAAACCTGCCCACCGAGGGGCGAACCACCGCAGTCGGAAGTTATGATGCTAAAGGGCTGGACTCCTGCTTTGTCCACGGTTGGGTTTGCTTGAGCCTAAAACCTCCCTTCTCCTCTCGACCTTATATAGGCCTGTAGTGGGAGTTGGTGCAAGAAAACTGGCATTTTGCTCGTTAATATTCATGTTGAATGTTACACGATCACTCGGTTAGTCAGTGGTTTTGTCTCCCATAAAGACTTAACGAGTTTACGAAAGAGGCCTAAGCCCTCACGGGATGCTTCTCCTCGATGCAGAACCTAGAAAACAGGGGGGACGGCTCTCCTTCGAGCTGCCCACGTCCTGGGCTGCGAATTCTTTCCCTGCTGCCGGCTTGTGTCTGTGACATCAGACCCAGAGACCCGAAAAGCCCCTCCACATCCCTGTCGCTCCTGTAGTCTTTTCCTACCTCGGCATGTTCTCATCACGGCAAAGTCTGAGATAGCCCATCAGGCACACTGAGGAAAGAAAAATCCCTGTTAGTTTATTTCACAGATATGTATGGAATTCTCCAGGGGTGGGAGGGATGCTGCTTGGCCTGCTTGGGGGTGGGGTGGGGGTAGATTTTAATAAGAGAGATAAAAAAAGTAAATGGCCTTGATATTATAAAGGTAATAAGAGGAGTGCTAAAAATATATATTTTTTAGTAAAAGAGCTGTGAATAATTAAGAAGAGAGCATATTGAGAGACCAGAAAAAGACTCCACGGAATAGGGAGCATTGGAAACGTGTTTTGAGTGTGGCTTCCGTGCGGGACTGGGGACAGAACAGCTCTTAGAGAACACAGTGAACAGAATCGAACATGTGTGGGGAGTGGAAAAGAGTCTGCCTGTGTTGGCATTGACGGCGGAGACGTATATGCCAGCCCTGGAAAGTTGTGTTTGGTCCAGATGTGGGGAGGTCCCTCTGATCTAAACACAGTGCCTGGACCATCCCGTGCATAGTCCTCAGGTAAAGGTGAGCCAACGATAAAGGTGGTCCCCGACTTTCCTCAAATATGAGGGGAAATAACCAGGTTCCTTTCGAAGGGAAGTAACAGAAAAGCGAAGAACGTTTCCTGTGTAAGTGTTAGGGAACCAGAGTCCAGAACAGTGAAAGAGAAACCTACATTCTAAATTGATTTTGGTGTTGGAAAACTAAAGAACACACTTCGGCCTTGGCCGGTTTGGCTCAGCGGTTAGAGCGTCGGCCCGCAGTCCAGAGAGACCCGGGTTCAGATCCCGCTAAGGGCATGTACCTCAGTTTGTCCCTGGCCCTGGTTGGGGTTGTGTGGGTGGCAACTAGTCAATGTGTCTCTCTCACATCGATGTTTCTCTCTCTCTCTTCCTCCCTTTCTCCCTCCCGCTTTATCTGAGGATAAATGCAAAAATATCCTCGGGTGAAGATAAAAAATAAAAAAATTTAAAAAACACACTTCGAGCCCTGGCTGGTTTGGCTCAGCGGTTAGAGCGTCGGCCTGCGGTCCTGAGAGACCCGGGTTCGGTTCCCGCTAAGGGCATGTACCTCGGTTGCAGTTTGTCCCCAGCCTTGGTTGGTTGTGCGGGTGGCAGCCACTCGATGTGTTCCTTTCACATCGATGTTTCTCTCTCTCTCTTTCTCTCTGTTCCTCTCTCTCCCTCCCACTCTACCTGAACAAAAAATGCAAAAACATCCTTGGGTGAGGATAAAAAATAAAAAAATTTAAAAAACACACTTCGATGACCCATGGGTCAAAGAAGAACTCGAATGAGAAATTAAAGTACTTGGAACTGAATTAAAATGAAAATACAAATTATCAAACTGATTTTGGCAGTTAAGACTCTCCTCGAGCCAGAATGAGGCAGATAAGCGTTTTGGAAGTGGGGGGACACTTGGGAATGAAACTGGGTGATCTGTGATTGCCAAGAAATGGATTTATGTTCCTGAGTATTGGCGTCTGCGGCCTAACTGAGGTGGGCAGTGGTTTATATGTTAGGGTGTCTGTTCTCAGGCACCTCCCCATCCTTTCTGGGCATTTTTCCTTGTCAGACAATGACCCTCTCATCCTCCGAGTCCCCACTCACCATATTGTAAAAGATACACACTCCAGAACTTTGATCTTTCACCTTTTGAAACTTCTTCTATTTCTTTGAAATGCACCTACCTTGCTTGTCCATTACTTAGGAGACTCTAGAGCAAAATTTGAATTTCCTTAATCCTCAGACACACTCAGAGCATCAGAAGTTTTATGGCCTCCTCTATTCCTAAAACAAACAAGCCAGTGGCCAGTGGTTTAATAAGTCCTGGAAAAGGGCAGCCAGCCAGCATCCAGACTATGCTAACGAAGACGCTACTTTGACCCCATTCTCGAGAGGAATGAATTCACCAGGAGGGCCCTTGAGGCTGCTGTATATGTCAGAGCTGAAAAACATAAACTATCCAAGCCAAAAGGGATTGCAAAGTCCCCTAGTCTAAGATCCTTTGGCATTAAATCCCTTCTGATAACCTCCCTCCAACTAGTTGCCGGGACCACCATTTTTCAGGATGACTCATTCCATCATTGGCGAGCTTGGCCCCTGTGGCTCACAGTATCCTGGCTTTGTACAAGACAGTGGAATCAAGAGAAATAACAGCCTTCACCAGTTTGGTTCAGTGGTGAAAGCATCGGCCCTCGGACCAAAGGGTCTCAGGCTCGATTCCCAGTCAGGAGATGCAGGTTGGATCCTGGGCCCCAGTTGGGATTGTGCAAGAGGCAACCAATTGATGTGTCTCTCTCACATTGATGTTTCTCTCTCTCTCTCTCTCTCTCTCTCTCTCTCTCTCTTTCCCTCCCTTCTACTCTATCTGAAAATCAATAGAAAAATATCCTTGGGCCCTGGCCGGTTTGGCTCAGCAGTTAGAGCATTGGCCTGCAGTCCAGAGAGACCCGGGTTCAGTTCCTGCTAAGGGCATGTACCTCGGTTGCAGTTTGTCCCCGGCCCTGGTTGGGTCGTGCGGGTGGCAACCACTCGATGTGTCCCTTTCACGTTGATCTTTCTCTCCCTCCCACTCTATCTGAACAAAAAACAAACAAACAAAAAAGAATGTCCTCAGGTGAGGATAAAAAAAAGAAAAGAAAAGGAAAAATACCCTTGGGTAAAGATTAACAACAAAAAGAGAGAGAACAGCAGCTAACTTTGCCACATAAAGTTTATTAGAAAATTCTTTAATCAGAAACAAATCTACCTCCCTGCTATTTCTACCTATTGTTATCATTTGTTCTTTTATTCATTCATTCAACAAATATTTATTGAGTGCCTACCTGTGCCAAACAGATACTGGAGCTGGACGCTGGTGATACACTAGCAAGTAAGTCAGAGAATTTGCCCTTCAGTTAATTCACTTTCTCGTTCTACCCAGAGAGTCCCAGAGAGGATTAGCCCAGTCATTCTTCCCCACAGCAGACCTGAAGCTCTTTGCGACGGCTGTGTGATTCCTGGCGCTTTATTCAGCATGTTCTCTGCCCCCTTGGCTGCCCTCCTGAGTGTATTCCTCTGAATACATTCCCTGTAGTTCCATCACCCTTAAGTGGAGGGTCTTAGAATTTCTGATGAGTTTGGATTAAGAGGCTGCCAGTAGATGTGTACAGAGGTGTACAGATGTGGGCAAATTCACCAAGTCAGGGGTTAGCGCCATCAGTGACCTTGTCCGAGGGACCTACCTTAAGTGATCCAATATTCATGAGCTCCTGGCACAGCGACACCCTCTCCAGGTACTGTGGGGGTGCGGAGATGAATCAGAGAACTTCCCACTCCTCAGAAAACTGAGAGCAGTCGAGACAGACCATGTAACTCAGGAGGGAGAGGTCACAGATGTGGAGGTCAGAGACTCGATCTGGAACCGGGTGGACGGACAGGAGAGGCTCTGACAAGCACCCTGGCCGCGGCGAGGGAAACCAGTCCCAGCCGCCGGCAGTGCCAAAGGCAGGAAGGGCGGAGGACAGAGATGTTACCACAGGACTCTGTAAGGCTGAGCAGTTTGCTGTACATGGGAGCTCAAAGGCGGGAGGGACACCAAAATGTCCCTGAGGTCGCCCCCGGGCTCCTGGGACAATGTGTTGGGAAGGGAAGCTGCGAAGTCAACGCAAAGAGTTGGCTAAAGGGGGACAAGCTGACGAGTTTGGAGGGTGTGCAGTGGAGGGCGTAGGACTGCCCACCAGGGGGTCAGAGCTGAAGGCTGGGCGGGGCCGGCAGCCTGGGTTGTTGGGACACACCCACCGGGAAACTCCTGAGCTGCTGAGGCTGCCTGCCCCGGGCAGGCAGGGGGAGCGGCTGAGCCAGCCCAGGCTCCGAGCCCAGCGGGAGCCCTGACGCTCCCTCCCTCCCTCCCTGGAGAATGTCCCTCCCTCCCTCCCTGGAGAATGTCCCTCCCTGAGGGAGCGGCGTTTGGAATCTCCAACACGGGTGGTGGGGAAGATATTTTGGATGGAGGGAGTGTCGTTGGAAAACAAGGACAACCCAGGTACCAAATGACCTGTCTTCTAGTCATAAAACGAGTTTGGTGTTTCTATTTTTGAAAGTCAAAACAACATTAAGGGGAAAGATGAGGGTTTTTTTTTTAATATTCATTAAATAAAAAGCCATAGATGAGAAAAGGGTTGGGAAACACTGAATTCGATGGAAAAAGACAAAGAAAAGTGATGCAACAAGATGAGCTCGTGAAGATTACTGTAAGTGCTCCTCAGAAGGGAGGCATTTGGTTCTGTTCCTAGGAAGACAGGAGGAGAGGACGAGGCAGGGCCTCGGGTGTCGCACAGGATGGACCACAGGACAAACGAGTACCTAAGTTTAACGTGCTCCTGTTCTGGACAGTCCAGGATTCCACCTCGATGTCCCTGCTTCCCGGTGGACAGCGGTGGGAGCAGAAGTGGGGTCCCTTCCCACAGCCCTCTCTGTGGCCGCCAGCCTCTGCCCCCAGGGGCCCGCGGCCAGCCCCCTACCCTTCCCCTTTGCTGGGATTCGAGGAAAACGGCATTTGGAGTTGGAAAAAAGATGGTGGGTGGAGGGGCCCGAAGAGGCCCGCCCGGGAAGAAATGTTACAAGCCAGTGCACCACTCTGGTTAACGGGAGATTAACTGGCTCAGATCTCAAGCCAGTGCTGCAAGAGCCTCAGGAGGCGGAAAGTAATCAGTCTGGCTGAAGTTACTTGGTGCCAGATCGCCACGCCTCGGACGAGTCTGCGAGGGCATCACGATGCAGCAGGGCACGGAGGGGGCATGGCGTGCGGATGGGACAGTCGCCCTGAGGAATCAGTGCTTGGAGCTGGTACCCGAGGGAGCCCTGAGCCCGCATGGCTGTGAGTGAACCCTCATGTCCGCGTGCCCTGGGCCAGCCCCCTGCCAGCCTCCCTAACCCGCAGTCCCTCCTGGGCCTGAGAAGCCATTCCTGCGTGCCGAGTAGCCGTGGGTCCCCCAGTTAGAGTTCATTCAGCGTGTGATTGGCCAGGGAACGGGAGACACCCCAGTGGCGACATCTCTCTAGAGAAAACCACATCCCAGAAGTGGGCCAGGACCGACACAGCTGTCCCCGGGGCCCAGGAGGAAATTCCACGCCCCCATGAGGGGCCCGGTTTGAATGAGAAAAATAACTTGGCCACTTGGCCAGGGCAGTCCTCAGCATGACCTCCCTCTGACTGGACCGGAACTCTAATCTGTGCGATTTTGCTCGGGAACAAAATACCAAGAGGCTGAAGAGGCCAAAAGTACAGGAGGGACATGTTCGTTCTGAGCGGTCTGGAAGGAATTCGAACTTGGCAACCGACACCACTGCCTTTCACCGATCTGTGGGGATCGATGGGCAAGGCAGAGACGTGTCCAAAGTCAGCGAAGGCCCTTCATCCCGAGGCTCGGACCCCAGTGCCCCGAGAGATCCTGGAAGCCACATGTGAGGGCCAGAGACCACCCAGGGGCTCGAGGGCCGGGGCTCCTTCTCATCCACATGTACTGCCAGACACAGGAAGGGGGTGCCAGACACAGGAAGGGGGTGCTTGACACAGGAAGCGGGTGCTTGACACAGGAAGGGGGTTTATTGACCATGTAACACAGGAGCCCAGTTACATTGTAGAAGATGCTGAAGCACTGGAGTAGAACCAAAATCCCAGAAGACAGACTGGGGCAAAAAGCCATAGTTTCAGTGGAAGACAATACAACGTTTCTAAAAATCAGCCTAAGGCACAAACAGGAAGCCGCTATGTAGCAGTGTCTGCTGCCCTTTGCTTCCGTGAAAACGCCGCCAGTGGGTTTGGTGTTTCCAGAGGAAGACAGCAAGGACAGGGCAATCCCAGCCCCCGCGCCAACGGCCCCGGTCCCTGCACCGAAACTCAGGCCTTCCGCGTGGGTTCTCAGGAAGACGCGCAGGCCGGGGGAGCACAGCTGGGACGAAGGGTACAGGAGGCCGGAGTGGAGCAGGGATTGCAGGGGAGTCTGCAGGGAGGCAGAGGAAAAGAGTTAGACGTGGGAAATAAAACGATGTCTCAGTGATGGAGACAGGAGAGGTCAGACCAAAATGGTGTGGGGAAGGTCTGCCACAGACAAGTCACACAGCCCAACAGAACCGCTTCCGTCAGACCCATGTTCACACCCGGCGGTGTCTTTCCATGTCCTCAGGGACTTGGCTTAGGGACCCGGCTACCATATGTGACCCATTCTATCAACAGTGCAGTCTGCACGCGCACGTCAGGTAGGTGGCCTGGCCAGGAATTGCCTAGATGACACCTACTTGCAGTCCTCGCTCTCCAGGAGGTGCCGGTACGTGGCGATCTCGCCCTCCAGCCGGGCCCGGATGTCCAGCAGCACCTGGTACTCCTGGTTCTGCCGCTCCAGGTCGGCCCGGATCTCGGCCAGCTGCTCCTCCACGGTGCTGATCAGGCACTGCATCTGGGCCAGCTCGGTGCCGAAGCGGGCCTCGGACTCACACAGGGAGTTCTGCAGACAGTCCTTCTGTGATGGGAAATGATGGGGGAAGATTTCCAGGGGACGAAAAACTCAGCAGTGACAATCATGGCTGAACTCAGCAGGCAGGGAGCAAATTCCAAGAAGTCAGGGCATTCCCAGAGCTCTGAAGAAGTCACCATCGATGGTATTTTACACCCAAAAAAATCTAACTTGAACCGTGTCGCGTTCCCCCCTAGTGTCTTCAAT